ACACAGAGGGACGGTGCCGGGCCAGGTTAGAGGGACGAGGCCGAGGATACCCTGCCCCTCCCCACCCCACCTTTCAGGCCTCTCCCGGCCTCCCCAGCCCCTCCCGGCTCCTCTTCTCCAGACGCGTTCACCAGACAGCGACAGAGGCGGCAGGGGTCGGAGGGGTGGGAAAAGTCAGCTCCGCTGGGGTACTCCTTCCCGCCAAAGGCGCAACCTGGGGGCGGGCGGTAGCTCTAGGCCTGAGGGAGAGCCCCTGGCCTAGGCAGAGGAGCACCCTCCCACCCCACCTCACCGCTGCAGTCGCTCTGGCAGCAGGTCCCGGGCAGTGGGTGGGCACAGGGAGCCCGGGGGCAGGCACGAGGCTGGCAGCGAGCGTGGCCTTCCTGACAGTGGCACTCTTGGCAGGGGTCTCTGGGATGGGAGAAGCGCTGGCCATCCATAAACACCTGTTGCTCCAGGATGCAGTCTGGGCAGTGGAGGTGGGATCAGAGGAAATTGTGACAGCAGGTGACAGCCCCTCTCCCCCTGGAGTCCAGAGCTGCTGTGATATGCTGGCCTGGAAGCTGAGTCTGTGCCGGGAGAGGCTGTGTGCACGTGTGTGCAGACATCGTATGGCTCTGAGACCGCGCGTGCGTGTGCATGTGCGTGTATTTGGGTCCTGTTACCTGAAGGTACACGTTTCTGTGAGGGTGCAGAGGTGATAAGTGTATACCGTGTGTCTGTGCTTGTGACACACACTTAGCACGCTCTCTGTGTGGGCAGGAATCTCATCCCCTTGCACCACAGGACCCAGTCCCTACATGCAGATGCAAACTCGTGCAGAAGGTGGGCATGTGAGTGCATCTCAGAGGCGAGGCATTGGAAGAAGAAATGGAGGACAGGAGGGAAGGGATAGCAAATCTCTATTCTTCTGCCACCCACCTCCCTGGAGTACCAGGGAGTTGTTTGTTGTGTTGGACCAAAGACAATGCAGAAGGCCGTTGATTTTGAAGGTATCGGATCTGCCCGCAGGACCATTAGAAGTAAGCTGTACCTGGACACCTGAGGCAGCACTGGCCGAGTAGACTCTGGGGCCTGGCACAGGTAACTGGAGGGCACTCGACCACGGAGCACCTCACAGACCCATCCTGAGAGCAAAGAGAGGCTGTGGGGGCAGCCCCGGGCGGGGCTCAGCAGGGCAGCAGCAAGCCAGAGAGGTACCTCGCAGTGGCAGGCACGGCAAGGCTCTTCCGGGTCTGTGAAGTTCTGCCCATTGGTGTACACATGGCCGTGGTAGGTGCAGCTCTCACAGCTGGGGCAGCAGGCGCCTGGGTGGGATGGGCTGGTCAAGTGGGCAGGGGGAAGCAGGGGAAAGATGTCAGGGTGGGGCTGGGGCACTCACCAGGGGACTGGGTGGGGTGTTGGCAGGGGGGTGGGGAGCAGAGCACAGCCCCACAGCCGGGCACCCCATCTTGGCAGGAGCAGGCAGTGCAGGGCTGACCATCGGGCTCCCACTGGACTCCTTCAGCAAACTCTTCTCCATTGAGCACACAGGCTACAGTGAGGGAGTTGTCACCATGCCAACCTGAATACTTACCACTCATCCTGTCTTTCCCAGCCCGTCCTCCCAGAGCCTCTGAACCCTCTGAACTCTCCCCGTTACTGCAAAGGAATGCCCTCCTTCCACACAGCACCCACCTGGGCAGAGCCTCGAGCCAGAGCCGGATGGGCCACAGGGGGCAACAGGGCACTCCTGCTCCTCACAGGAGACCTCACCAGCCTAGGAGGGAGGCCAGGTGAGAGGCCCTCAAGGAGTAAGACAGCCTGGGTGGGAGATGGCGGGACTGCCCACCTGGCAGGAGCAGAGGAAACAGCGACCACTCTCCTGGAGGCTGAAGGTCTCCTGGCTGTGATACTGGTGTCCCTGGTATTCGCAGCCTGGATGGGAGGACAAGTAGCTGAGGGGGACAGGGCTGGCACCTGAGGCACCCAGCCCCTCCTCACACCACAGAAGCACTGCTCCCACCACAGTCACTACTTTTCACTGAGAGGTAAGGTGCAGACTCACCTGAGGGGATGGCAGCTTAGGTGCAATGGAAGAAATGCCCATCACCACCCAGTGGCCAGTGCCTGCCCCTCACAGTAGCCGTGGCTCCCACTCACCATTGCAGACTGGGCAGCACTGCCCAGGGACCCTGCCTGGGTGTCTGCAGGGCACAGGTGGGCAGGGCAGAGGCTCACACTGGATGCTCCCATTCTGCCAACAGGGCCTGGTCAGCAGGTGGCAGGCAGGCCTGGAAGCCAGACCGGGCCCACCAGGCAGCCACACTCACAGCACAGTGGCAGCGTGAGCAGGGGTCCACGGAGCCCACAGGCTCCCCACTGTGGTGCTCTCGCCCGTTTAGGAAACAGCCTGTTGGGAAGAGGTGTACACGCTGTCCTCAGGGGCCCCTCAGTCTGGCCTTTGTAGGAAACCCAGGCTGAGCCAGCAGTCAACTAGGGACCCTGTTCCACACACTGACTCACCATCGCACACTGGGCAACAAGTGCCCGGGAGGGGCCGGGCAGGGTATGGGCACAGGCTGGCACATTCTCGCTGGTGGCACTGGATGTGGCCTTCCTGGTGGGGCATGGCAGGGAGGGGCCATCAGGGTTCAGGCAAATGGCAGAAACAGCATTGGAGTCCCAGCTGTCCTAGGCACTGGATGTTGTATGGGTGAATTGCACCCCCTAGTTCATATGTTAAAGTCCTGGCCTGTGGCACCTCAGAATATGACCTTATTTGGAAATAAGCCTGCTGCAGATGTAATGAGTTGAGATGAGGTTACACTGGAGTAGATGGGTCCCTAATCCAACATGACTGGTGCACTTGTAACAAAGGGAACTTTAGACCCCAAACACAGAGCCAAGCGATGCCAGAGAGAGGCACAGAACGGATTTTCTGCGCAGCCCTCAGAAGGAACCAACCCGGCCATACATTGATCTTGGACTTAGATTATATTTCTGCTGTTCACACCACTTGGTCTGTTGGCCTTTGTTACAGCAGCCCTAGGAAACTAAGACTGTACCAGTATAAAACCTAGAGTGTTACTCAAGCACCCTGTGACGTTTACCAATCTGGAACAGATGGCTAATAACAGTCCTATCCTCTTAGGATTGTGATGGTGATGAAACAATAGAAGGTATCAGTGTGACATCCACCTCTGAAGCTGGTACTTAACATGACAGCTGCTGCTACCCCAACACCATCCCTGCCTGTCCCTAGCGGATACCATTCCTTGAATTCACATCTGCACCTTTGTGTTCATGGCCTCAAACCTCACCAGGGCACCCAGAGACTCTTCTCATGGGTGTGAGGGGTCAGTGTGAACAAGAAGGACATGGGAGTTGGGCAACCCAGCAGCCTTCACAAAGGGTCTTAGTCTTTACCGGGCTGTCAGGAAGCTCTGTGGCACCTGCCTGTTGGATGTTAAGGCCTTCGGGTCCCTTGCTTCCTGTCCTTTATTCCCTGATCCCAGAGAATCTTCCTGCACTTCCCCCTCCTCAAATCCAACTCATCCTTTAAGACCTAGGTAAGCACCACCCCTTCCATGAGGTTGTTCTAGATCTGTACTACCGAACAGCAATGTAAGGCAAGCCATTTAGATGTGTGTGCAATGGTGAGTCAGTGGGTAGAACAGGGCCCCAAGCAAGAATAGGGTCTCTGAAAGCTAAGCGGAAAATTAGTACAAGCTGTTAAATTCTCTCAAAGCCAAGTTTTAGATTTTTTTTTTTTTTTTTTTTTTTTTTTTTTTTTTTTTTTTTAAAAAAAAAAGGGTCTTGCTATGTAGTCTAGGCTAGCCTGGAACTTGTGTAGCTCAGTCTGCCCTCAAACTCACAATCCTGTCTCACCCTCCCAAGTGCTGAATTACAGGTTTGTACATTATTCCTGATTCTCAAAGCCATGTTTTAAAAGATATTAAAAGAAAACATGAAAATAAACTTTAAAGCATGGCACAGTTCATGCCTGTAATCCCAGCTACTTGGGAGACTGAGGGCAGTCTCAGCACACGAGCAGCCAGATCCTGTCTCAAAATAAAATATTAAAAAGTTCTGAGGCTGTAGCTCAGTGGTAGAGTGATTGCCTGGCATGTGTGACGCCCTGGGTTCAGTCCCACAAAAAAAGTTTTAGCAATATACTCCATTTTCCCAGTATAGTCAAAATATTTCAACATACATAGGATAGTAACAAGATACACCATCTATCTTCGTTCCTCCTGTCTTTGAAACTGGGGATTGCACACTTATGCACACATCTCAGTTCTGCCAGCCACGTTCCAAGGCCCAGTCATCACATGTAGTGGTGCCATCAGATTGGGTGTCTCAGTCAAGCTCCCTGGAGCTGTCACTGCCATCATAACCCACTCCGTCTCTCCCCCTTCTTTGAGTTAGGATCACAAGCCTGCTGCACACCTGCGTGCTCAGAGTGCCCAGGATTCCATGTGCTCCATCTCTGTCCCCTCTCAGGGCCCATGGGATAGGTCACAGGAACAAGGTTAGGAATCCAGTGAGCCGGAGGGCAGGACGGGGCGAGTGACAGCCCAGCAGCAGCCTCAAGACTCACCAGGCATTGGCAGATCCGGCAGGGATCCTCAGATGCAGGCCACTCTTGGCCATGGTCCCTGTGAGTGCCACCTTCTGTGCAGCCTGGGGCTGGGGACAGAGGAGGCCTGGTGGGAAGTGGCTCAGGCTCCAGCCTCGACCTGCCCAATGCTCCTCATATGCCTTCACCAGACCAGGCTAAGCCTCTGCCTAGGCAGAAGGAAGCCCCCACCGCAGACTGCCCCCAGGCCTTCCTCCACAGCACAGCCACACCCCCCTGCCCCAGCTACAGGGGGTGCTCCTCACCTCATCCTCTAAGGTTTGGCCATTCATAGCTACTTGCATTGCGCCCCTACTGTACACACCCCAAGGTGATGTTCAGGTCCAAGCCCTTGCCCATACGGCCCCCTCTTCCTTCAATGTCCTCTGCCTTCTTTGACCCATCACCCAGTTAACTGCTCTTTATCCTTAAGGGTCTCCTTCACGGTGGCTGCCTCTGAGAGTGTATCCCTCCCAGGGTCAGCTGGATTCGGTCTTCTGAGTTTCCACGGTATCTGGCCCCTGCTTTTATTTCTGACAATGGCATTTGTTTCACAGTATTGGTGTATGACTCCGGGTTGCCCTCTAGTGGTCATCCCTGAGGGTCGCTCCCCTCACCCGTGTTGGGGTGTGGAAAGCAGGTAATACCGGTCGTATATTACACAGCATTGTGAGGTCTAGAATATCACTACGTGTACCTTACAAACGGGGAAACAGAGGCACAGAGTGACTTAGAGTCACACAACCACTAAACAAAAACGGCAGAATTTGAGGTTAGGCATTGCAGGTCCAGAGCAGGCTTAGACTGGTGTTACTCCCCACCATCACCAGCAAACCAAATCAGAGGCCAGTAGGGTGGGCTGTGGAAGTGAAGAAATAGCATGAGGGTCTTGCGGGAGCTCCGTGAGAGAAGGCTCAGGGGGCTCACCTTGGCAGGCTGGACAGCAGTGCCCAGGCCTCAGAACTGGCTCGGGGCAGGGACTGGGTGGGCACTTCATGGGCGCACAGTGAACCAGGCTCCTCTGTAATGCAGCAATAGCTGTAGCCACCCTCAGTTCCCCAGCAGGTGTGGGGAGGGCAGGTGTCGGGCAGGGATGGAGGGAGGGCCTCACCGGCACCAGCTCTCACAAACCATGTTATAAATGGCTAAGAGTGGCTGGCATGGCCCGGCCTGGGGCCTGGGCAGTGGGGCAGAGGACTCACCAGGCAGGAGCACTGGAGACAAGGGTTGGAGATGGACAGGAAGCTGGCCCCCTCTTCGTAAAGCCGCCCCTCATACTCACAGCCTGGGGAGGGTTGCGAGGGTGATAGGTGAATCACTAACGAGCAAGAGTGCGTATCCCCAAGGGATACTACGACCCCAAGGGGGAACTGGACCCCCTGGGGCTAAGGGGAAGGAGGGGCGGGCAGAGCAGGAGGTCACCTGGCCGGCAGATGGGGCAGCACTCCCCAGGTGGGGTGTAGCTCTCCAGACAGTTGATCTTGGAGCATGAGGGCCCCTGGCACTGCACGGTCCCTGCCTGTGGGGCAGACGCTGAGCCCCACGTCGCTCCCTCCCCACTGCCCGAGCCAGGCTACTCTGAGGGCCTTGTGGCCTAGCAGGCTCCAGGCCTCAGCACCTGGGTGGAGGCAGAAGCCAGGTCTGGCCTCCAGATTAGGATGCAGAAGATCAGTCCTGGGGCAGCAGAGATGCAGGTGATGGCTGGGGTCAGGCCCTGATTCTCTTACCTGGCAGGTACAGGTGACACAGGGCTCTGGATGCCATGTTTCTCCTGACCTGTGGCCCTCAGAACAGCCTGCAAAGCCAGACACAGAGGGCTGGGTGCCACATCATCGGGCACCATTCAGGACCCAGTTAGCAGATAGTTTTATATTTATTTATTGTCACCTTTCCGGCAAGTGACAGTCAAGTGTCTAATGTAAGCAGTGCATCTATTTACTTATTTATGTTTAATTTTTCAAGACAGGGTCTCACTGTGTAGTCAAGGCTGCCCTCGGGCGCACTATGTAGACCAGGCTAGCCTCGAACTTGCAGCAATTCTCCTGCCTCAGCCTCCAAAGTTCCGGGATTACAGGCGTGCACCTCCACACCTGGCTCCTCGCTGTATTTATTCTACAATAGGTGGGAGTAAAGTGACTTGAAAGGGGTGTCTTTCTTTTAAATGAAAGGCCACCATTACCCAGTGAACCCAACCAGTCACCAACCCCAGCCCATTCTTTAGAAACACTTCTCTATTTGCAGACTCCTGCCATCTCTGGCTCCGTACCTAGACAAGGGCTGTGAACACCCTCAACCGATCTCTCTGCATCCAGACCACACCAGCTGAATATTCTTAAATATTCTATTTAGGAATACGCCACAGTCTAGCTCTTCCTACTGCCCACAGAAGCAAGTCCAACTGCGGGGCTTATAACAGCCCTCCTGGAATGATTCCTGGAATACATTTTTCCCTGCCTGGTTCCTGTGCACAGAGGGATCTCAAGCACTCCCTCTCCTGGTGAAATCCCAGCTTCGGTTGAAGATCCAGTGCAAATGACCACTGGCCTCCAAAGGCGTCCCTGACTGACCGGCTGCTCACATGGGCATCCCTGCTCTCCCATCCCTTCCTCTGGCAAAGTATGCACTGTCTTCTACATTGCTTAATTTGTTAATTGGATCTTAAATCTTGTGTTAGATTAGCTGTAAGTTTGTCTTCTCAACTAGACCAGAAGCTCCTGAGGGTCCTGATAATCTTTGATGTGGTCACAGGCCAGGGTGTCAGCATTTGGTGGCACCAGCTCAGCTCAGCACTCCCCCAGCACTGTCGCAGTGTTCTTCCTCTGTCTCTCTCTCTCTCTCTCTGGTCCCCCCAGGGCACAAGCAGGAGGGAGGGCTGAGCCTGTGGGTGCTGACCTGGTTCACAGCGCAGGCAGCATACTCCTGGCTCAGGGCACGGTACTTCTGGGCATGGATTCTGGATACAGGTGATGGCCCCTTCCTGTGGAAGCAGCTAGGGTGACTGCAGGGCTTTCTGAACCACAGATTCACCCCCAGGCAGGGACTTGTCCAGAAGTAGAGGATGAGTTGGCTCAGCACACATGGGCTACCCTAGCCCAAGGGCAGAAAAGAGATGCCCCACCCCACCTGGCCATTCCTAAAGCCCTTGACCCCTGGGAACCCACTTTTCCAGGTGCCAGCAACTTGCCCAGAGTGGAAAGACCCTATGAAGAGAACCAAGCAAGGGCTTTCTCAATGGAGGAGTAAGAAAGAAAAGGCCACGGAGGAAGTGACAGAAAGCAGGCAGGCAGGGGAGCCCGAGATGGGGTGGGGCGAGGGGAACAGCGCTGGTCACACAGGAGAGGGGGTTGAGGAAAGATCTGCCCCATCCTGGCAGATGCAGGCTGTGCGGGCGTCAGGCTCCCAGTGAGCCCCCTCAGGACAGGCGCACCCCAGCCCCCAGCACTGGGCAGAGGTGGAGCGGCACTCACAGGGCGCCAGCTGCCTCACTCTGGCCTGCAGGTCCTCATTCTGGGAAGGAGGTGGACTACAGCTCAGCCTCCCCATGTCTCATGGGTTCATGAGGCGAAAAAATGGAGGCAGGATGAGAACTTGACAAGTCCACAGCAGAGGTGGGTCTCCCTCTATCAACATCCACCTCACATAGTTCTCAGGGAGCACAGGGCCACCCTTGGGCAAAAAGGGGACCCACCCTCACGCAGTGCCTGGTACACAGCAGGAGGACCATTACAACAGGGTATAGAAATCCACACATTACAAATACTCTGAGAGAACGGATGTTAAAGACTGTTCAGATGAGACCTCTGTGTGCTTTAGAAGTAAAACTATTTTAGCGTCCCTGGGGCCCCCCAACCATCTCTTCTCCCAATACACAAAAGTCCACCCCACCCCAAACATGCAGCCCTGCCTCTATGGTACCTGCTCTCTGAGCTTGGTCACCTCAGCCTCCAGCCACCCCAGCCATTCCTCCAAGGGGTGCCACTGTTTCTGGAGGCTCCCAACAGGGACTGAGGAGCGGGCAGGTACCTGCTGCTGGTAGTCATGGATGTCAGCAAGCCCTGGGGTCTCCCTGAGGACAGCTTCACCTGAAGGGTATGAGAATCCACCAGACATCAAAGGCTGCTTCTGTTCTCTGAACCATGCAGGGGAGGGTCACTTTGTACCCCGTGTACCCCACCATCCAGGGAAGGGGACACTGTCTGTTTTTATTTAGTTATTAGGCTTTTTTTGTTTTTTTGAGACAGGGTTTTGTTATGCAGTTCAGGCTGACCTTGAACTCACTATGTAGCCCAGGCTGGCCTTTAACTTGAAGCCAATCCTCCTGCCTCAGCCTCTGAGTCCTGGGATAACAGGTGTGCGCCACCACACCCAGCTTTATTATATTTTTTTATACAGAGTCTTGCTAAGTAGTTCAGGCTGATCTTGAATTCACTGTGTAGTCCAGGCTAGGCTCAAGCTCAAGGCAATCCTGCCTCAGCCTCCTTAGTGCTGGGATTATAGGCTTGCTCCACCACTCAGCTGGGCTAGGTTTGTGAGAGTTGAAAGCTGGGGCAGGGCACGCAAGAAAGTAAGGAAACCCTGAGTAGACGAAAGTGGTCCAGACCAATTTTCCCTTCATGTCCGTGTGACCCCCAGGGACATTGACCTGCAGGAGGTTACAGAGCAGTCCTACAGACATCCAGGTGGGGATGGCGGACAGTGGAGGGCCTTGAGGAGTCAGAGGGAGAGGCTCAGGGAGAGGAGAGGCCTTTCCCACGGTGGCAGCTCATTACGGAGTCCAGCCTGAGCTGGCTGGAGGGTTTCTCACTGACACTATGCCCAAGGGGCAGAGAAGCAAGGTCATCCACTCTCCCACCCCAGCCCCGCCACCACCAAGGGCAGCGGGGACTCTGGTCCAAAACCTGCTCTGCCCAAGTTCTTTGGCCGAATTAATGCCACCCACCGACCCAGTTACCTAAGCTGGAAGTGTGGAACTCTGCACCCCTCCTCATCCCATCGTCTCGCATCTCCCCATTTCCCCTAAGCCACCCCTCAGCTCTTCCTCAGCTCTGTACAGACCTTCTCTCTCAGCGTGACCTTTCTGTCGCACAGGCAGAGGCCCCGAGCAGGAAGTTCCAGTGTGACCCCCCACAGCGGCACCCCCCTTTGCACCCCCAGGAGCGCTGGACCCCCAGCCTCATGCCACCAGCCCCCAAGCCCTGTCCGGCTCCTGTCCACGCCCACGTGCAGGTGCTGGCCTCCTGTCACCAGGAGTGGCTCTCCGTCTTGACCTGGGCCCTGTGCCCACCTCGCTCCCTCCCACGTGGAGGGCGCTCAAGGGCAGGGTCTCCGAATCTGAAACCCTGCGGGCCTCGGGCCTCCCCCTACCCCGGGGGCCTTGCTTCCCAGGTCCCCCCGCAGTCCTGCTTCAGCTGCACAGTTAGTGACCCGGGGTGGGGGACCCGGGACACCTTCCAAAAGGGCTTCCGAGGGCGGCACAGGCCTGGCCGCTCCTGTGGCACCGTCCCCCACTCCCAGCTCCCCTCGAAGCCTTCCCCTGCCCTTGCCTGCAGCCCCCCATCCGGGCCTGTCCCCCTGGGAGCGGGGATGGACAGACTCCAAGTCTGCTCCCACGGCAAGTCTCCTTTTCCCTCCTCCTTTCTTTTCCAGGACAAATAATTAACTTCAGACTCAGATGCCAGAGCAGCCTCTCCCCCACCGCTGTCTGCAGGCCTCTCCGGGGATGGAGCAGACCCTCCCCCTCCCGAGCCCCCACTTGGCCAGGTTCCCCCATCCCGTTCCCAGGCGGATGAGAGGACGAGGGGCGACAGCCAGGTGGGACAGAGAGGAGCAGAGCGGGTGTCTGCGAGGGCCTCGGCCCAGACTCACCTCCCACGGCCCTGGCC